CATGTGTATCTGATTATATATCCGGATATATATATATATGTTTCCTTATATGATTTTAACGAATATGGATATGAATTTTCCTTACCGAGGTATATCCGTTTTCGTATCTGTATTCGAGATGGGTAAGCAGATATGGATATGATAAGTATCATATCCAAGTTGTATCCAGACTGAATGCACCCCTACTATGCACGCACGGGTTGATTTGTTTCTTTTATTTATACATCTAATTTTTTTTCCAATAAACTACGTACTACTATCTATCCTCTCTGAAAATTGACATATAGGTAAACTTTCACTAAACCCCCAATAAGATTGGGTGTTTGACACTAAACTCCTATACCTTTTAAACTCTCACTTCCTATACCTTTCAAACTCTCACTTGACCCTCTATAACTTTTGGTAGAAAGCTTCCTAATAATATTGTTAGTTTATGCATAGTCAATTGACCAAAATACCCTTAATAGATTTTGGAAGAAAGTCCCCCAATAATTTTTAGTTTTCTCACTTACCCCCAAATAAAATAACTTTTGGTCAAAAACTCTAATAACGGTTGTCTATTACTTTTAATGTTCTATGTAATTTTCAGATTTTTTTTTTAGGAACTTGTTTCTAATTTTTAGATTTTAAAATGTGATGTTTGTAATTTTTTTCGTTTGGGGGGTTGGGGGGAATATTTATAATATTTGGTTTTCTTTGGTAGTTCCTTGTTTTTTTATTTTAAATTTGTTCTTGCAATTTTTAGATTTTGCAATGGTCTTTTCAAATTTAGACTTTTTGAGGAGTTGTTTGTAATATTTATATTTTTAAGGGACATGTTTGAAGTTTTAAGGGAGTTGTATATGAATTTTAGACTTTAAAGAAGATGGCTTGTAATTTTCAGAGTTTTCAGTTGTTTGTAATTTTTAGAATTTAAAGAGGTCTTTGTGATTTTTAGATTTTTTAAGAGGTTGTTTGTGGTTGCATATTTTTTTAGAAGGCTAATTTTATTTTTTGTATATTTAGTAGTTGTTTGTAATTTTATGAGTTAATATGCAAATAGGAACGATTTGAAAGGTATATATTGGTCTTGAGGGATAATTTCCGTCCGCATAAAATTATGGGATGGTGCCCTTATGGTGTTAAGTGTAAAACATCAAAATATTTTTATGGTTTGCTAAAATTATGAGACTTATCAGAAATTTTAGAAAATTTACAAGCTTAGTGCCAAACGGCTAAACTTCTTGAAGGTTTATTGAAATTTATCTTTTAAAAATTTAAGGAGATCCATGTGATAACATTTTGAAATGTAAGGCGAAATAGTAAACAATTAATCTCTCCTTTGTAAATAAAAGAAAAGATAATTAAAAAAATATGATTATCAAAATTTTTAATTATGGATAATTAAAGAGAATTAAAAATAATTATTTAATTTTTTAGTTATGAATAATTATGATTTGATAGACATTACCAAATATTTAATTAGAATTAGAATTAGAATTTTCTAATTATGAATAAAATTAATTTGATGAGGATTCTCATCGTGGATAGAGAATACACATCCATATTTTATAAGAATTCTAATTTAATATTAGAATAACCTATAATGTGTGTCACTAAATATCAACAATTTCTTTTTATATATAAAGGAGGGATATATATAGCTAATGTGACACTAACTTCGAAGATCCAAAACTTTACTTGTTTACTCCTTTCAAGTTCAATGGATCTCATGTCATCCACTGTTTGAGAGCATTTTGGCTCTTGGGGACCAACTAAATATAGTAATTGTTTCTTTTGGCTTTTAGATTGTGGCCCTTTTCTCTTGCGCACTCTTTTAGGGTTGGGACTTGGGATCCCCCTCAATGAGTATGTCCAAGCATCAAGTGGAACATTTGCTTATTAATTCTAGACAAATTTACCCTATTCTTTTTTAAGTATCGTCAATGTCAATTAGCTAGTGCAACTTGTATCCGACATGTAAGGTTAATAATAGTGGGGCTTTTGTTCCAAAATTTTACACTAATTTAATTGATCTAGACTACAGTTTATTATGATAATCCATAATAGAGGTAGAAAAGGCGAGTAGGCCATATTATATGCTTTTTTTTTCTCTAATTCAAATGAGACCTTCGTTAGTATTTGTGTTTTTTTGGTAGATCACGGAAAGATTTCCTACAAAATGACGATAAAATTAATGTTATACACCTGCTAACTCGAGTTGTGTTGGGAGAATAGAAACTACTTAAATGAGAAACTTACATCCTCCGTTTTCTCTTTAAACAGACTAGATTTTTATAATCCTCTAGCTGTAATATGATTGTTCTTCAAACCATAAGTCTAACAGTATATGCATGTATTGCTAATATTTATTTTAACATTTGGTAATTATTTGACAGAAGGAAATTAATTAATTACAATAAAAAAGCTTTAAATGGTAATAGAGAGAGGAAAATAAAAGAAGAATTGATAGGTTATGCTTCTATATTAATAAATTAGAGAAGGAAAAGATTAATGAGTCATTTTTTAATAATACATTAGCACAATGATTAGCAATTCCTTTCTTATCTAAACTGTATTTTAGATTATTTTTGTTTATTGGTTGGGAGAAATCATATATGCATCTAACAAAGAGGATCTATAATGAGGAAGTTTCAAGATTCCTACATGCTAATTTTGGTAAAATACTGTAAGATTTTATATCCACACTTGTTGAAATTATCGTATTTAACAAATTTTAATATGTTCTTTATGCCTTCAATTTTTCCCAAAGCAAAAAAGCTACGGAGAGACAAGAATCTTATCCTAGAAATTTTATTTATATATATTTGTTCCCTCAATCACATCAAAAGGGAAGAATATCTTAACGTCAAAGAACCTCATTTTCCCGTAAATATATTTGGGCTTAAACATAAATCTACTTCGTCATAAGAATCATATATTACTAACTTAATTTTATAGAACATAACTAAGCTCAACTCTTAAGATTTCTCAAAATTCAGTCTCATTCTTTTACAATTAAATTGCATACTAATTAGAGCCTTATTAATTATAAGTTATTTTGACGAAAATAATTATTGCTATATGAACATTTGTCTTGGTTTAAATGCCAAAATTACCAATATTGCCAAAATTCAATCTCATTCAATTTTCTTTCTAGTTTTCTTCTATTTTGTTAACTCTTCTCTTGATATTTTATTGTCTTTTTTTTTTTACTTTGTACAATTGGTATATATCCATGAGCCAAAAATTTTGCTTTGCTAGAAGATAGAAGAAATAAATAAACATGTTATGTATAAAGAAAAACAAGCCTCTTTCTCTTTGTTTAAGTTTCTGATTAGCTTGTAATTTGATCAACAAAACACGTGTCCCACAAAAAGCTATGCATTTTTGTAAACAAGCTAAAATCAGGCGATAGTTTATTTGAGTCTCTTATCTTAAACAGGAGAGACAATGAATGCGATTGGCAAGTATAAAACCACATTATGCAAGTAATTAATCGGAAATAACGAATGTGATTGGCAAGTATAACAGTATCTTTAAAAAAACAAAAAAAAAACGATAGTTTTACTAACGCAATTTGGAAAGAAAAACGATGTTATAAATTCTCTGTCACTGCATCAAAATTTTAAAGTTACTCCGACGTGTAATTTGACCAAGTACTTTGCTTAGAGTTAGAGGGAACTCAAAAATCATCATATGTGACAAATATATGGCATGAATGACTACGGTTATCATAATCATCATTATAGACCAGTCATATGAGTTTTGAATGTACAAAATAGGCCGTAAGACAACAGACGTTACGGAAGAGAGAGAAGCAGGGGACGAGGCAAAAGCCTCCCCCGCAAACGACGTTCGCAGAGCACACGTGTCAGCCATCCATCACAGAAGCACTCAAGTGCATACAGCTCCCTGCAGCACCCTAAACATCCGATGAAAACCTCTCCAGGAAATGTTTTAGTTAAAATTAAGGAAAAACTGCTTCTAGACGCCAAAATCCAACTTTCAATGTGTCCCAGCCCTCCAACTTTCAACAATGTGCTGCAGCACCTTTTTTTTGAAAAAATTATGTCCAAGCCCCTCTCCTCAAGTTCCAATGCAACATCTTCAAAAATCCCGATTTTACTACTCCCTCACACCCTCTCCTCCTCCTCCGTTCCTCCTCTGCCCTCGCCCCCGTCTCCCCCAGCTCGCCTCCCCCCCCGCTCCGCCGCCAGCACCTTCCCAAGCGTCGTCACCTCCCCTCCGCTCGGCCTCCCTCCCCTCCCCCCGCCTCCTCCTCCACTGCACCTCCCTCCTCCTCCTTCGTTCCTCTCTGCCCCCGCCCCGCCTCCCTCCCCAGCTCCGCTCTCTCCCCCGCTCCGTTCGAAGTGCCTTCCCAAGCGCCTCCGCCTCCGCGCCAGCGCCTTCCAAGCACCGCCGCCTCCCTCCCCTCCCCGCCTCCCTCCCCCTGCACCTCCCCTTACACCTCTTCTTCTCCTCCAGTCCCTCTTTGCCCCCTCCCCTGCTCCCTCGCTGGCACCGTCCCGAGGAACTTCGCATGGCCGGCGGCGATCATGGTTATTATATTAACATGTTAACTTTTAGGGTTAACATGTTTACTCTTAACAGTTAACATGTTATCTGTAAGAGTTAACATGTTAGCCCTAAGAGTTAACATGTTAACCGTAAGAGTTAATATCCGCTGGCATAAGAAAGAGGATGGTAAAATTAGGATTTAAGCCAGCTGGCATGTCTAATCATGAGCTGGTATGTCTAATCATCTGTTGGCATGAGCTGGAATCATGATGGAGGGGTCTAGACACAATTTTTTTCAAAAACAAAGGGCTGCAACACATTTAGAAAAAAATAGGGGGGAAGGGCTGGAGCACATTGAAAGTTGGATTTTAAGGCCTAGAAGCAATTTTCCCTGAGGCACAAAATCAGGGGCCAGCGAAAAGGAAAGCAGCGCTCAAGATTTGCTGCCCATCGCTTTCTCTCTCTATAAATATACATCCCCCCTCACTGCCTCCCTTTTCCTCTCTGTGTCCTCTCTCTCTCTCTCTCTTTCTCTTCCCACAGTTTGCTATGTGCACAAAGCTCTCAGCACAAAGCCCAGATCATCAACAAGAACAATAATTTAACTGAGAGGTTCTAGTTCCAGTTCAAGTTATATTTCTAGTTCGAGAGAGAGAGAGAGAGAGAGAGAGAGTGAGGAATTCTAGAGAGAGAGAGAGAGAGAGATGTATGCTGAGCATGGGCTCATGTTTCCTTTGCTCCAGAGCTTCCCTCACTATCTCCCTCCTCAGCCTGATGATGATCTTATGTGTCGCTTCCACACTGAGATCCCGTGTGTTGATGCCCCTCCTCACATGGTATCATTTTTATTTTATTTTTTTATTTATTTTCAGACTTTTTCTTTTCTAACGTTTGTAAGAGTTAATTTGATTTTTTTTTTTTTTCAACATGTGGGTTTTCTTGTTCAGTTCTCCCATTTTTTTTGTTTTTGTTTTTAAGATATTTATGGGTAGTTTTGTAAATTGGACGCATGGGCTTGTCCCTCGACTCTTGCATAAATGATAATAAAGGCCTCAGGATATCTGGCATTTTTGGGGGGAAATACCCATTGAGCCCTCAATGCCGCATCTTTATTGAGCTCTTTTCCAACTGCTGCTGCTGGAAAAGTTGTGTTCTTTTCTCAGATATCTGTAGCTAGTCTGGTAATTAAAAAGATAATTGTTATTGTTCTCAGTTTTACCAACGAAATATTTAAAAAAAAAAAGACTAACTAAATGGGTGCAAATCAGGAGCTTCACTTTTATTCTTCTTCCACCGAGTATTAGTGAAATTTTCCACTAGAAATCAGAAGAGCATGTGTTTCTTCAATTTTTTATTGCCTAGGAGTACGTTTGGGTATCGTGACTTTGTTTCTTCAATTTTTTATTGCCTAGGAGTACGTTTGGGTATCGTGACTTTATGCTAACTGTTAAATTGTGAAGATCTCTGTTCATTGCATAAGAATCTCTACCAAGTTGTTTAACATGCTTGAGGGAATCTTGTTGCAGTCCCTTTGTCATTTTGTGATCAAATTGATTAATAAACACCTCATAGGTGAAGAAATCACTTACTTTATCATAATAACCCAATAATATTTGGAAGTTTTTGATTTTTTTTTTATTTTTTTTTTTTACAAGATGATAAGCACCATGTGCTCTCCAAATTACACTTGTATTTATTTTCACTCAAGACAAATCATAGCCTTAGCATTGGTTGATAAACAATTATGAGTGAATAAATGAAGGAGAGGATCCAATCTTACCTCTTGTTTCCTAAAGCTGTTGTTATTCTCATGGGGGCAACTTAAATAGTGTTGCAGTTAAGACTAAACTAAAGCATTTCTAAATTCTGTGTTAATTATTACCTTAGGTCCCTCAGCCTTTGGCTATGTTACATGTTTCTATTCCATTTTAGGTTCAGCTAACCTTCTACTAAATTCTCTTAATAATAAAAACAAGATGTGATGTGAGCTTTTAGTCAATTTGCTTATTTATATGTTGATGGGATGGATGTTTGTCTTACTCAAATTCTCCAGCTGTTAGAACTTCATGCTAGAAATGGTGATTTAACAATGACAGGATGCTGATTTGTCTTACTCATCTTCTAAAAAAAATTCCCTTTTGTCGCAGCATGTTTTATTTTATTTTGTTTGGTGAATGAAAAGAAAAAGTCAGAAATTAATTATGACCAGAATAGAAGTGGAACTGGAGAATTATCCTTCATCCTTCCTGTTATTATTGTTCAACTCTTAACAAAATTTATGGAAATTGGGAGAAGGTTTTTAGAGAATTTTCTTTGAGATAATTGAGAAAGAGGTCTATCAATAGAAAAATAATAAATATTTTTCAAATTAGGTTGAAATTCATAAATAAGTCAGCGCGTGCTTTGACCAGTATCTGAAATTCTAAAAGTGGACAAGGGTCATAATGAAAGAACTGTAACATAGTCCTCCTGTATTTTCCTGAGAATCAGATGAAGAAGATGAAGCTTCTTTGTTAGGAAAAAGAAACCGCCTTTTTTTATCAATGGCCCTTTGACTCGTGTCATGCAATTATATCAGGATTCAGGACAGATTATCTTCCAAGTCAAATTGTAATTACGTAGTTAACGCAACTGAGTTACTGGGAGAGAAAAAAATGGTTCCAGCTATTTTTGGTCATGGTCATTTCTTGCTCTTAAGTACCTCGCAAGTATATAGGCATCTCATAAAAACTGAAAGGAATTTCACCATCATCTTGATGCATCAGGTTGGCTTCAGATCGGGTGTTGACTTACGCTTGAACATTGCACCCTATAAATCGATAATGAGTTTTCTTGTTTTTGTATCTTGCAGATGTTGACTTACGCTTGAACATTGCACCCTATAAATCGATAATGAGTTTTCTTGTTTTTGTATCTTGCAGAAGTCTGATAGTATCACATTTGCCTGAGCTATAAATCGATAATGAGTTTTCTTGTTTTTGTATCTTGCAGAAGTCTGATAGTATCACATTTGCCTGAGCCTAAACACAATTTGTTAGTAATTTCTTTGTGTTTTTTCACTAGATGTGAGTTTTTTCTTGAGATGTATAGATGGTTGAAAAGGCTGTAGAATTTGTTCCGGGACATTGAATACAAACATGCTATTTCTTGAAAACAAGAGGTAAAGTAAAAAAAAAAATGTTATCTTCTGTGAACTGGTTCAAATTAGATAATCATATGCAAATCATGAAACTTTAATCTTCATATAAGCAAAACCATAATCTTCACACTTTTGATTGCAACTATATTTATCATTGAAAAGACTATTGGATCAAATTGTTCAATCCTAATAATAAATAGAGTAAACAAACCATACCTTACTGGCTTATTCTTCAAGTATGGCTGAAGCAAGGAAAGCACTTCTCTGCTTCAACTGAAGCATCATATTTCATAGTTGCACACATGATAAGAACTACAGTAGCTATTGGTACTAAACAAAATGAAGTCTAATTTTATCTTTACAGGGGAACTTGGTGCAAACATCCACTATTTTGGAGTATGATCTAGGAGCAGAAGGAGATTTATTCAAAGCTCCAGAGCCAATCATAGAAGAGCCTGAACTCGCATTGGATCCTATGAGCGCTGCAATGACCATTATATCCAATGGCCAAGATGTCATGACTGAAACAATCAAGGTCGCGGACATGGAATCCATCCAAAACGAGCATCTGAATGATGTCTTATACGAATGCAAGAATGAGCTCCTAGCTAAGTATGCAATCAACGAGCCATTTCCTGAGATACGTGATGTTAAGATTACTGTAAAGGAATCAGAGGAAGTTCCGAGCCTGGAGAATATGAGATTAAGTGCTGAAGGTCATCTGCAGAAAAGTGTTAGCTCTGGGTGTCTCAATTCAATGGAGTGGATTGGGGGTTGCAGTATAAGACCTAACTTTTTAGATTTTCAGGGGATGGATTTTGAAGCAGCGTTTGGCTTGAGGAGAGCATACAGTGAAGGGGACATTCAGGTCAGCGGTTAGTTTATTCTTGTTTTACGTGGGTGTTCATTTTATTGCTCTTTGTTATATTGGACATGAAAAATATAAGGTGGATTAAAGAAAAGAAGTAAATGAACTAGGTGGTATTAAAGAAAATGATTGATGGGCCTGCAAAATTAGTTCACCATATAACAATCAGGGGCTATTTCTTGTGAAATGCTATAATTTCTTTTAATTGTTCATAATTTGATCACGAAACTTTTCATTTTCAAGTAGAAGGCTATTGTTTAGGTGTTAAAGAGAGATGAGATCTACATGTTTATGGACAAACTCCCCAATGCAAAGATATATATCTTTCTTGTTGATGAATTATGATCTATTCAAGAAGATCACTATTTGAAAGAGCAAACACACCTGACCACCAAGTCGTCATCCGTGCACTTGTCTAGGGTTCACCCACTCGATGTACGCAGGTCACTGAGATATTTAGAGGTCCGGCAATTTTTTTAGTAAGAGTTTGGAGGTCATTGATTTTAGTTTTTCCTAACAGGCTCTCGGAAGCACTAATGCGAATCATGGGAGCACGTGCAGCGTCCGGGCTTCTTTTGAGAGACAACTGACCATCAGTGAACTGAAGACCGAGGAACGAAAGCAGAAACTTTCCAGATATAGAAAGAAGAAGAGCAAAAGGAATTTCGGAAGAAAAATCAAGGTATCGCACTGCTAAAAAAAAAAGAACATCCTTAGAAGACATCCCTTGTTTACAATCTCAATGCTACTAAGCAGAATTTGCATGGCCAATTTGTTCTTTCTAGTGACATAGTTTGTGTGTTTGCAGTATGCATGCAGGAAAGCCTTGGCAGACAGTCAGCCGAGGGTCCGAGGGAGGTTTGCGAAGACTGAAGATTGTGATTTTTCAAAAGCACTCAAGTAAAGTGAGATATGTTGGAACGATAATAAAAAAAAGAAGATTTTAGAGGCTAGTATTAATCAGTAGTGCCAAGTTAAGTAAATCTAATCGTGGCGTCTAAGTTCATGCTCCTCAATATACAGATCAGAAAATGGCTCTATGATCGTTTCAACAAATCCTCCGCGGTTGCTAAGATTTCTTCTTTGTTGTAATAAGCCTCCTTGTTGTGATGGTTGTCGTCGTATATTTGTAGCTAGGTGGAGCTGATGGGTGTTGTTGTAAAAAGGTTTGAATAAAGATCGAATATGGGGGTGTCCCGTATTGGGTTTTGAGGTAATAATGTCCGCTCTCATTAAAACAACTGTTCTGATTGAAGTCTCGTACGTCTGGGGTCTGTAGTCCAATGTGTGCTTGAGCTAGAGTCAGATTCGAGTCACAAAGCTCAGGCTCGAAATATGTTATTTGCGTCTTTTGAGCCTTCACGCTTGAGCTAGAGAAGTATTACATCAAATTTTTTAGAAGCGAGGACGATACATGCAAGTCTCGATCTCACAATTAAGTTGCAAGTTCTCTATCCAAGCTACGAATCCAACATCTTTTACTTCGGCTCGTTTTTGGGGTGTCATTCGTTTAGATTTGTAAAGAATTGTTTGGTAATGACTCGGCTTGTAGTTTAAGAATCCTACATTTTAGAATTTGAGTTTGAGATTTTTGAAGAAGACGGGGCTGACCTTTCCGGTAAAGTAAAGGTTCTCATGCTGATGAGTAAGTGCTGAATGATGCTCAGTGAATAAATAAGTAATTATGTTCCTCAGTAAAAATACCTTTTGTTGTCTTTCTGCGATAAAAAAATCATCTACCTCGGTAAGAGTCTTCTATAGATATTACTTTGGCGCTATCAATTTCGATCAACTATTACAAACTAAAATATCGGAATATATACACATGATGGATGTAGCAGCCCATACATGAAGTACCCATGGGTTTCACTCACAGCAATCCTGCCTCCAAAACCACAGTGACACCAAACCTGATCTGGCCAAACCCTATATACATGCAATTTTTCCAGCAATAAGAATCAAATGTAATTAATTCATGTTGCTCAACAAGTCAAGCAGATAAAGGGTCACAACACAGGATGGGATGCTGGCAAGAACCAGAACCAGATTTAAGTCATGTTGCTCAGCAGTTCAACCAGATGAAAAGAATATATACAAGCAGCAGCTCAAACCAACAGCACGCAGCAATAGTTCTTGCAGTTGGAAACAAAGCTAACAAACGCACAGCTACCTTGCAGAAGTCGACCGAAAAATGAAAAAAAACAACACAAAGCTACACTTCAAGCAAGGAAACTTAAACGGCTCACAAATCCATCATTTGGCATAATTGCCTGACCTTCGCCCGGGAAATACTCGACCTCTATCGCCTCGCACCTGCTGTCTCTGTTGATGTTGCTGACGGGAAATACGCCTCTGTGGAATCTGGCGGTTGTCGTCCCCACGGAAGGTCTGTTGCTGAGATGATGAGATCCCTCTCATCCTGTTCTCCTTCATATTTGCAAACAGTGCATCCAAGGTCTGTGGCCTCTGCTTGGGATATACCATTGCTACATCCTGCAAGAATCAAAAACTCATTTCAGTTTCCTTTACATGATTTTCAGACATTTTCAAAGGCAAAAAATGGAAATATGTGATGAGTTGGGATACGGGCAATCAAGTCTACCAATTAACACAAGTAGAGCACTAAATTCAAGCCATGAAAGCCTCCAAGAGCAAGTCTTCAAGAGAAACAAAAAGAATACTATGATATCACACTGAATCAAATAGTTGAAAGCTAGGTTTATTAGAAACTACATCTAAAAGTTCTGAGAACCATTACAATACCCAAAATCTAGCAAAAGGGGCTATAATCTTATTTGAATAAGGATCCAATCAAGAGATATCAACCAATATATATCCAGCTGTCGCAGACCATTTATCAATGGTTAAAAGTAGCAGGTTTAGAAGTTAGATGCACAAGAACAGCAGAAAGAGCACAATTCACTAATTAAGGAGCCACAATGCTGGGAGAAAGGGAGACAACATAATATTGGCTATCCTCTAGCATCCCAATCCAACAAGTCAAACTACAACCACACACACACACATGCAACCATGCCTGCATAAACATGCACACCAATATGTTACACCAGATCAGTTCGTTGAGCACTTTTTCTGGATAAACTTTGTTATTCTTCGATGTCAATGTCATGATACCCGTAAGTTTAGGATCTCATGCTATTGAAGACTGGACACACAAAATCAGGCCATCAAGATCAACTATACTAAAAGCGAGATTTATCTTAATCCAAGCAAGTGATATATCTTCTTTCACATTACAAGTGCCGACAGACATAAGGACGCTTATTAAATCCTTTCCCATTCTTTACATATGGGTTAGGCATTGCTGAAATCGAAAATCAAATACAGTTCAAAATGTTTGAGATATTATTATTGAACTTTTATCCAGAACTCATGATGGGGACCATAAGACTATCTCAACTTATGTTTTACAGCCAAACATCTGCTTATGTTTAAATCCGAACAACCTGCTCATGTTTTAAAGCTGAGTCAAAAAAATAAAACCTAGACTCAGTCTCGAGTACGGTAGTTATTCCAACTTAGATGACATAAAAGCACATTGTAAAAATGGTCTCAATTATTACAATTACCTTCGTATAAAGTTGACTTTATCATATTTTTCTAGCATTATTTTGGGCTAATTGCACGTTAATATTCTTAATTCACTGATATTTTTGGTACCCAGAAGTTCACATTTGCCCAAATAACACCACAAAGTTTCACCTTTAAACTTTAATACCCTTTCGTTACACGACCATAAAAGTTGCCCAAAATATACTTTCTTGTGATTTCTTCCTTTCGTTAAGGTTTTGCTTTCAATTTTGTTGTTAATATTTTAAAGCAGGGGGTTACTTTTGCTACAGTTCAAGACAAGATTCTGTGGCTTGAATTGAAATGAAAATGATGGAAGAGATGGATTCAAGGGAAGCTGTTTTTCAGTTTAAGGGTGTAAAGTTCAAATATTATCATGTAACAATCATGCGATGCATTTTAAACAGGACTCTAAAAGGAAGGTGATGTAAAGAGAAAATATTAAAGTTAATATTCGTGAAACTTCAGGGTATTATTTGGGTAAATTTAAACTCCAGAGTATTGAAGTTATAATTAATGAAACTTTCAGGTAGTAAAGTGTATTTCTAATTTCTTAGTAGTTCAATACTTATTCCAAGATCTTTCTCCATTGAGACTATGAACTCTGTTAGATGCATGTTTCATCAAAATAGAATTTGTTGAAACTCTGACGCTACTTCATAAAAACTGAAAACTATTCTTGCCCTACTCTGCTTAGGGTTATGGTTTTAATTTTTGGGTTGGGTTGGGGTTGGGTTTGGGGGGGGGGGATTTCAACTACACAGTAAACTTTCCTGCTAAGATTAGGAAAAGGCACATCTGAAGAAGAATAACGAAGTTGTTGCATTAAAAATTTATTTTATCAAAGCTTCCTCGGATTATTATTACGCTTTTGTCTTTAGTTACTGCATATGGCTGCGACTCTTCATTCACACCTCAACTGATATAACAGAAAGCAAGGGTAGACCAGACATGGACAGACAACCAGAGGTACCCAAAGCCAGGTAGCTGCCCAGTTTGTTGCGAGATGAACAATAAGATAAAAGGAAGAAGAAGAAGTAAAAGGGGAGCGAGGAGAGAATAAGAAAAGGAAAGAAGGAAGAGATGTAAGAAAAGAAGAAAGAGTATAGCTAACTGCTATCTTCTGGATTATGATGTGTGTCAGATTGCAGTAAGAACCCAAATCTAATCTTATAAACTAAAAAGCTTGCAAACTGAACTCATAACCAACCAGACTTGATCCTACCACCTTCTTTGGAACCGTTTGACAGGATTAGACATGTAGCGAGGACTCATCCTGACCAAACCACTCCAAGCAACCATATAGGGCCAGAATCTGATCAAAATAGGTGCATGTAAGATAGGCTGGAAAAAAACATAATTGTATTGTCCCCTGTTGCATCGTCATAATGCAATTTATGAAAATTTAGAGGTTCCATGACTACACACCAACATCGGTCACCAAAGAGACCCACAGAGAATCATCACTCGAAGCAGAAGTTATTCTACAATTCTCCTCATTCTTCTCATTTTTCCATCACCTTGTTGAATCACCTTTTGTGTCACTCAGGTACATAAAACAAATGAGGTAGAACCAATATATGAGTGAATTCACACCAATGTTTTCTCTGGTCTCGCCTATCCTTAATAGTTCTGGTGAAAAGTGTGACCTAACGAATAAACTGAATCGATATCCCGCTTGTTGCAGCCTACACACATATCCAAAGAGAAGAACAAGACAATATTCTTCAAGGCACAACAAGAGGATGTCACCGTTGACGAAATAAGCCAAAGAGAATGTTTTACGCTCAAGGGTAAAAGAACTAACTTTTTATAGACCAACTTACTAAAACTTAGTTCTTTCATCCAATAACTTCCTAACACATAATCCGTACAAACACGGATATCTTAAAGGAGGGTTATTTCATAGAAAGTAGAAACCACTTTTCAAATATGGCCATTCTATAGAAACCGCTTTTTTTTTAAATTTATACATAAACCTCCCTTAAAGTGTTTTTTTGTAATTAACCACTTGGGCCAACTTTTAATTCAAGTTTTTTTTGCAATTTTGATGTAAAAATTAGTTGTCAAATACCAAGTACATTAGAAAGATTGTCCTAAATTGAAGTTAGGTGGAGTCAATTACTAAAAAAATTAATTGAAAAGTGGGCCCAAGTGGTTGATTGCAACAAAAACACTATTTTCTATGTATAAATTGAAAATAAAAGGTGCTTTTTATAGACTGACCCTATTTTAAAGGTAGTTTCTATGAAAAACCCCTTAAAGAAAAATGCAAGCATAATAATGTTCTTGAGTTCTAAATTTAGGACAAATGACGTGTCAAGTACTTCCACCCATGTTGAAGCAGGTAATTGGTGTTAGTGTCAAAAAAACATAGGGCTTGGGCAAGCGATTAATTGGCAAACAGTCAGGTACCATATGGCAGGATGCCTGAAACTAAGAAACCAAGAAGCCAGAATTAAGATGTAAATTTCTCACTATCACATCAACAAGGACAAATTCAAATAATTTTCAAACAATAATGTAAAGAGAGACTGTCAAAATGATGATGAAACATCATTTTGTAATGGAAAATCAACCAGCGTAATTATATGTTATGTTTAACGTGGTCCAATACATGTTACTCAGAATCAGAAAGCAACACATGAAGAACAATATAGACACAACATCACAAGTTAATGCTATGTTGCAGGTAGTGTTTTAAAAGCAAAAGGCAAGGCCAAGGAAAATCTGAGGTGAGAGGCGCCAAAAAAAACAATCGCCTGAGTGAACCCAGGCGATAAATATTCAAAAAATTCATGAACATTACAAATTATATGCAAATATCAACAATAGCGATAAGACAAATTAATCACACCCAAATTTTTGAAGTCACAAATCTGATAAATAAACCATCTAAATGAAGTAGTAAGTAACAAATATTAAATAGTAATATTAACTAGTAACTGCTAACACATAATTAAGAGGCAAACTTTGAACTTTAAGGTTCAAATTGTGCCATGTCCTCAAAATAATATAGCCTATATAGGTAATAAAGTATACTTCAACAAAGAATAGCAAAAAATCGACGATGAAATAAGAAACACAAAATTCAATAACAAAAACAAATTTTACTTGATCGTACAACTTTTGCACCCTCAAAATTTTGAAACAAAGACACACCTCGCGCCTTGCATCACATGCCTAAGAAGAGCCCTTGAGGTGCCAACGTAAGGTCACGTGGAGCCAAGGCGATCTCTTGAGGCGCCAAAAGGTGATCGCCTTAGTAACCATTATCGCTTGGCAATACGCAAGGCGCTAAGTTACAAGATCACCTCGCCTAAGCGCCAGAGGCACTAAGGCACATCGCCTTAAAAATACTAGTCGCAAGTTTTACCTAAATCAGAACTTTCACATTCTATAACTGAACATCTCATCTCCAAGATATCTCTAATTTTAAATCGGATATTAAAAAATCAACCAACAATTTAGGATTCTATAACAACTATGACATGGCTGAACATTCAAATTCTGGTAGATTAGCTCTCAAATATTCTGAAGTGTTATGGCATGCGCTAAAAGCACACAGTATACGAAGTTCAACACAAATATTTGCTGTGCCCAGGCAAAGGGAAAAAGAAATAAAGACTGTACAACTAAAATGGAAGCTCTTTCATGCCTATTGAAGTATAAGCAAAGCCGCATGGCACTACATACAACATGAGTTATGCTCGAGTCTCTATGCAGTAAGCTACAAAAAGGAACCACATTATAAGCTGTTATTCAGATTAAATATATTTTTGGTAGCCTCAAAAAGCTGATCTAACTTCGGAATCCCTAAAACATATACTCAAATATTATTATGTTAATTGGTGTTTTTTAGATGCTAGTCTCAAAAGTTGGAATGGATTTGAAAAGAACTCCCTAAACATATAGTTTGCCAACAAGTCTCCCAAACCTCTCAAGTTAGTCGGGGGGAAAAGGCAGAAGGAGAAGAGTGTTGAATTTGGATCTGCAGGATTCATAGTGCAATGTGTGATTTATGAGGGAAAACGAGTCTGTGTTTCAATCTGCGTACAAAACTATTGCAAGTTGCCATAGAAGAAGAAAGAAGAGAATGAAAGATATAGCTATAATGATCATAGATTGTTTTCTGTCAAGTTCAATGAAATATCCCTGATTATGAGGAGAAACTGGTGATATAAACTAAAAGGACCACCTTTAAATGATCCAAATGGTATGCAATTGTGAGCAAATCATTTGATTTATAAACTGTTTCCAAATTGAGACTGATTTAGAGTACTAATATATAAAATATGTACATAAATCATCACCCAAACGCAGTTGATCTGTTATAACACGAGGTTTTGAACTTTAACAAATGGGAATTCTGTAATCCCTCCTTTATATGTAAAGGTAAATTGGTGGTTTATTTCTAAAGACACAAAAAACCGCCAAGTGTCATATCACAAAAATAACATGTCACTCCTTTAAGTTTTAAATTTCATATTTTTATAGTATTTCTTTATAAGTTTGGATAAACAAGGTTAAGATAGTTTAAAAATAAAATTCCACATTTAAACCTGTAACTAACTATCCCTAAAAATAAAGAAGATATTAGCATGCAAGCATGGAAAAGAGACCGAGTCTCTTTGGTTCCTTCCGGAAAAAAAAAGCAAAATTAGAAAAAGAAAATGAAAAAGAAGACAAAGAGAGGTGGATCACTGCTAGAGCAGAAAGATCAAGTTCGGGCTCCATCTCTTCCCACTGCATTACGGCAGGTGTTCTTTTTTCCCCCTAAAATTTAGAAATAAAGGAATCTTCTTATTTCAATTCGATTTGTATCAACATGCGACCTAAATTAATTCTTTCTAGAATACATGTGTAATTTACTTTTTTTAATATTATTTTGTCAGTAATCAGTATAACATAATTAGCATATGAGTTGCAATGCTCTGAGTTAGGACCTCATGTTTAATGAATTTAACCCATCAATTAAAAGTTCTAAGCATATAGTAATGTTATATTTGATTGTGTCATGACAGTTTCAACTATTTGATAGTTTGTTGGTGATATTTCAATTTATTTTCCTGATGTGATGGCATAACAAATGTTTAATCCTATTTTAATTTTTGAGAAAAATAAAATCATCAAAAAGGAAAACATTATTGTTATAATTTAAAATCCAACCATGATCAACTTATGACCCTACATGATTTAAATTTAAAAATCAAATCAAGTTTGCGTCCAGTACCTAAAGTTTTTTTAAGTCACACCTCTCGTGTTCAAGTTGCTGACTTTTTGCGAATTCCTACTAATCCATCGAATAGTAACTCATTTTTTCTTCTCACAAACAACTATATTCTCTAGGAATTTGTCGAGAAATCTCTGTATACTTCATATCAGCTCTAAAATCGCTAATTTCAGTCTCTACGGTTCCCTCAAAATTTCCAATAGCAATCTCTGAAGTCATCAATATAATCTAAAAAGAAATTCACGTAACTTTATCTAGCAAAATCTATTGTTTTAGATCACATTGCCTATGGGTTCTAACAAATTGTTTTCTGCGAGCCAAAATGAAAGACTGTTTGAGTTCTGCATGTCTAAAATTGAAATGAGTTTTGAGGAGATTACTAATGGTGTCAGGGTTTGGGGAAAAAACTTATGATTAAATCTTAATGATGGTCACTTTGGTCCTTACATGTTGGTCATAGGTATAAGTTATTTGTGTACTCATGTTTATAAGAAAAGTGGACTATATACACAAAACAGAAAATAAAAAGCAGTATTGAATGGAAAGAGTTTCATCACAATTTAATTTAGAAGGAAAGCCCATGTCGGATAAATCCTAACTATATAAATCAAAGTAATCAGATCCATCGTACGAGCACAGGCATCATACTTGTGTAATATAATAGAAAATCAAGCATCATCTAATGTTTTACTGCCAAAAGTATAACTAAAAATTGATATGGTACTAACATTTAACAGAGCAAATCTTAAATTCCAAGCTAATGTTACCTTTCCAGAAGGTCCAGCGTCAGCAGCCTTCCTCTGCGCGGTTACAGGGGCAAACCTATACATAACAAAAAGCTTCATCATAACCAATTACCAAAATACTGGTTCTCTCAATGTGGAGCCATCATTAAACAAGGAATGGCAAAATTGTAGAAGATAAAACATTATGTAACAGCATAAAGGACGCTTTTCTTTGCGGCAGCTAGACTAAGAGATCAGCTCGGGGAGAACTTACCAACATCTTCGTACAACAAAATTTTGAACTACAAATATCTTATAAGGGAACTCTATCAAAACCATTCACTATACATGATACACTGAAATCCATGATACTCTGAAACTGAAGATTTTCCTCAGCAGAAACTGCACGAGAATCCGAATCCATTTCAGAGACCTAACTTTTAAATAACATCAGCACAACAATTCCATAAGTTTTCAGTGCAATGTCAGCTGCGGATGGGTTTGACGCAGGGATGCATACATGGACATATCTTCTGTTAATTACTTCAGTAATAGAGTGTCATCCGTGAAACACAATTAACCAAAAGAGGTTAACGAAGACCAACTGCTAGTCCAGGAACCACTCCCACATGAATGCAGAAGCCAACATGCTCACAGACAGCCAAAAAATACCTATAGCAATCCAGTAATAAGAAGGTTACAAGCAGTAACACCATGAAAGACACTGACGGCCATGGCCTCCCAGAGAACAGTGGAATGTCATTTCCTCAATAGAAGCAATTTGAATAACCATGCTACTTCGTCCCTTCCGCACTGTTAACACTCAACAGAAAACATATCAAACAACTAAGGAATAAAGTCCATATGTCTCCATGTGACATGCTTAGTGACCGTTGACACGCTCCAAAAGATACTTTAGGAGTCGGCCTGGAGATGCTAAGATTGAGATGTTATCAACCATAATTAGTGCTAGGAGATATGAACAAGTTCGCATGCTAAACACAGATAGTTGTGGGGAAATCTAGGATTAAGAAATCACAAGGAGCTAAGCTGAAGGCAAGAATGCATTGACAAGTAATTTATGCAGAGGCTGTCAAACAAGTGCCACACAGTTAGCTTCCCAATGCTCTCTCTGATCAAACTCTGCGTTATACAGTTAGCCTGCCATGCTGTCCAACTATAATGCTTAGACTATCAACCAGAAAGGAAGCAAGGGACATGGAACCAACTTAGTGAGGTTGACAGGGGCATATTGTGGCCTGCGAAGCTCATCATTTTAACATCAGGACAACTGAGAAAGAAGACAAAGTTGCATAAACATCATCAAAAATAATTGAGGACACCTTCAAGAAGAATATCAAGGTGGAACCAACACTTGGATCTACCAGATTTTGCCGAACAGAAAACTAAAGCATGAGAAGAGATATTCGACTTCCTAGGAAGGAGATGTAACAAAAAACGCCATGCCTGTAGATATCTTCTCCTCAATGCAAAGAATCTCGGGAAGTATCAGTTTCAATATAACCTCTTCTGAAACCATAAGATGTAGAGCTTCTTATGTATGTTGACAGTAGAAGGCTTATACTAACAAAATATGCACCTAAAAGGTTTAAATATCATCTAGAAAGCACGACTGATAGTAAGATATAGCCTGTATGAACAAAGGATGACCCTCATCACTATTGAATTACAGTAGCAATGCGATTCAGCAAACAGTTCTCCTACACTCTTCCTATCTTAAAAGAATATCCACACAGCATGATACGCATTCAAATGTCCAGTGGCATTCCCTCTTGTTCATCACCAACCAATAAAGGTATCACTGAGAGCTCAAAACACTGAGATTTCCCCATAGAAAGCACAGGAGACAACTTTCACATATAAAGCGGCCAGATTCAGACAATCTAACACCCCAATTGTACAAAAAGAACCATGTCTACTTTGATTGCATGTACATGGAAGACTTCCCATCAAACATGGAAATACAGTTTTTTACCTGTAGAGTTACATGTTCGTCAATAATCATATATATTAAATAGACAAACACATATTTATTGCAATGTAAGGATCCATCAAAAGAAATCTAAGATACCTCGGTTTGTTCCAGTTGGTGGCCATACTGCGAATAGGCATGACAGCAGCCCTCCTTGCAGCATTAGTAGTTAATGGAAATTGATTTCCCAACTGATTTCCATGAAAATTTGACCTTCTCTGTGCAAGTACACCCTATACGCACAGCATGATGATTAAGTACCTAAATTCAATAAGACAAATCCTGGTGATGAAAGAGCAACTGTTCAAGACAAGAACATGGATGCATCTATATCACCTGTCTAATTGATGCTCTAGAATCCATGAAATGCTGAACTCTGCTGGGACGTTGAGAAGCAATTCTATTCAGGAACCCTTGGCTTTTAATCTGCGATTATAAACTAACATCAACAATTCTATGGCACAAAAAGTATCCTACACAAAATAACTGAGAATATCATATGCACTGCTCACCGGACGCCTGGGAGCTTTTTTCTCTTTGGAACTTGGTGTTTTTGACATCTTGATTATATCATCTAGAAAGAGAATTGAGGCATTCAATTATATATACACTTACTTAGAAATACTAAAATAAAAAGTGCATTGACTATAAGCACCATACCAAGAGTCATATCCATTTTCTTTTCTGTGAGCGCAATTGCTTCAGTTGTTATTGGCTTAGTTGCCATCTGAAAACATTAAACTATAATTAGGAGCACTGCACACAAGTAAAAGGTCAACAAGCAGCAGAAGAGATGAGTAAACTCTTAAAAGAGCCATCAAATACCGGGAAAAAAACAGCTTTTAAGATGCAAAAATTAAATGCTTTTCCTCATAAATTTATACCAGACGGCATTACAATTTATGTCTATTAATTTCTTTCTCCGAAATAAAGAACTCTTCTTTCAGAAGGAAATTCCACAAAGTTCACCGCAAATGAGCAACATCACACGAATCTAAAGAACTATTAAAGCTACAAACTTAAACATCAAACCCATGTCGAAAATAGCAATGCCGCTGAACAAGCACAACACAGCACAAACCTAGGTAGTAAAAAAATTGTCATATTCTAAATCCCCTTCTCCACCAAAATAAGACCATACACGATACATGATGAATAAACCCTAAATTGCCAAACCTACGTGAAATTATCAATCAATCTAACTGTATTAACAAATAAGAACAAAAAACGCGTTCGAGACGAGAAATTTCCACCAATTTCCATCAAGAAGAATGCTTCTTGAGGATTATCAAGCGTTAGATCGAGAAGAAACGAAAATCTAGGGTTTGAAACCCTAATAACAAATAAATCAAGTAAGAGATAGAACTCACCAGATCCAAGGACGAACTCGCGCAGCAGATGCGAACCTCACAAATTAGGGTTTGAAAAGGGAGCGCCTTGCGAAATTAGGGCTTTCGAAAGAAAACGAAGAAGGATGATTTGGCGAAGAGATTTGATTGAGAGAGTGATTTGGGAAAATACCCGGAAATTTTTATTTTAAAAGAAAAAAAACAAGGCCCCTGTTATTATAGGATCGATAGGCGGCGAGATCAACGGCCCTTAAGAAGGCGGCGGACTCGTGGATCGCGTAAAATAATCGCCAGCTAGACACAATTTTTATTTGTGACAATTTTTATTTGTTTAGGGGTTTTCTGCGAAAATATTAGTGTACTGCTAATTTTTAAAGACGACCGAATCTAAGGATACTTAGAGCATCTCCAACGGCTTCTTCATCTTCTTAAAATGCTCAATTTTGAAAAATATAGAGTTGTTTTTAAGTCCAGCAGTTTCTCCATCACATTCCCTAAAATAGGGATGAAGAATAACAAAAGAGAGTCTTTCCCCAAATCTGCAGCATTCTGCAAAAAATCTTCTTTCTCCAAATTCTTGAAAGTAACATTACCATAAATATTTCACATTGTCCAAAGAAGGAAAAATATATATCTAATACTTTATTGAGTTTTATATTGTTATAATAAAATATCAAACATTTATTTTCTTAATTATTATTGAGTATGTAGGGTGTTTTATAGTTGTAATAAATACCTAAATACCTAAAATGGGGAAGCTGTTGGATTTGGATCAAAAAATTTAGAGAATTTGGCATTTTGCTTCCCCATTTTAGAGAAATTATGGTGAAGCCGTTGGAGATGCTCTTACGATCAGGACATGAAATCTCAACAAAATAGTTTTAGAATTTAAGATCAGGCCATGCCTGTATCATGAATTTGATTCATGTTCGTATGCTTTTCAATTTTCATGTATTGGATTAGAAACTAAAATTTCCCTACTACAGTCGGAAAAATTACAAGAATTTAACTACCATTGCCCGTGACACCTGCAATAAGTAACATCTCAATTTCGTTATGCAGTGGTAACAAACCAAACAATCTTTTAACTTTAGGAAAAACATTACACGGTGGTAACGAACCATAGAATTTTTACTTTTCTTGATTCGCGCCATTTAATTAACAAACATTGTGGGTGAGGTGAAACTGATGTGTTACTCGTACAATTTCTCCCTATTTTCAACTGATTTTATTTTGGAATTATAGTGCGCGAGTCAATCCAAACTGGATGTATCATGTACCGTATTTCTCCCTATTTTCAACTGATTTAATTAGCAAACATTACTCAAAAACAACAAAAACATCCCTAGAGTACAAACTTAAATAAGCGTACTAGAGCTCAAAGTATGCTCATCTATTTTTAACACACAGTTTCGATATCTACTCCTCTATACGCTCATCTATTTTTAACACAAGGTTTCGATATCTACTCCTCTGTACAAATGTGAGAACCCAAGATTCACTATTCATGGTACAGTAAATACTACATCGCCAGTAGCAATCCAAAAAATATTGTAGCAGTTAGACTCGAGATTACTATAGCAACAAAAAAAATATTTGTCGTGCTTTGTGTTTTCATCGAAAGTCGTTTTTATTGTCGATTCCATTAAACTTCAGTCGTTTACAATGAGTTACAATGAAAAAATAAACAAATTATAACTTTCTTAGAAAATAACACAGAAATCGTTTATCGACTCCTGTTTTGCGGGACTTTGCCTGCGCCGGGAGTGCTTTGGCTCATGGACCACCGATTCACAGATCGTGAGGATCTTTGATATCCTTCCTTCGTTTAGAAGCAAGAATGAAAGTCAGTGAATATCTTATCAAAGTAAGACAATCACTCTTCTTAAGATCAAGTCAAAGCTCGAATCTCAAGGAATCACACAAAGAACTCAAGTTTTACTGTTCTGTCTGCTCTCTATGCTCCTCTCTGCTCCAATTTGCTCGATCCTTGTAAATAATGGCCCTAGAGGGGTATTTATAGCCTTCAGAAGAAGTTCAACTGAAAATACAACGTTTCGGAGAAACTGTGCGTTACTGTCTCGGCGTACTGTCTCGACATTTGCTGTCTCGGCTCCCGAGACAGTAAAATCTGTCTCGGAAAATCCAAACTGCCCGACAGTTTCCATTATAACTGTCTTCCTACGTTTCAAACTCCGTTATTTTCACAGTTATTCACGTGATCCTCGCCCATGATGTTTCCCACGTTCTTTGACAGTTAATGGACACGTGTCATGCAGTTATTTCAATAATTTTTAACCGTCTCGGAACTGTCTCGCGTGCGAGACAGTAAACACTGTCTCGCAGGGCGAGACAGTAAACACTATCCCGCACTGCGAGACAGTAAACACTGTCCCGCACTACGAGACAGTAAACATTGTCCCGCACTGCGAGACAGTCTATACTATCTCGAGTGTGAGACAGTCGGCACTGCCTCGATTCTTTTGAGATATTGTAAGACCGTCTTTTGTGATCTTTGGATGACATTCTCTTTGTTTGGATATCTATCAGTATTTTTTGACGCCTATAGATACCCCCTCCAAAGTATTCCAGACTCATTCTTTTATAGAAGAGTCTGGGACACTTTGGATATGATAGATTTTACTTACGATCCCTTCAATGCTTGGTTGAGTAGATCGTGTAGAAGGATCCGTAAATGGCTTCGACTCTTGATCTCTTCATCCTTTAGTCTATTCAGTTCTTTGTAGAATAGCTAATATTCCTCCGGTACTGCGTTTATCGCTTAACCGTTGTCGAGATCTTGAATTGAAGCTGGCATTTGTACTTGTGAATTCGGCTTTTGTCACCAAATTGATACTGGATTTTTTTTTCGTTGTGAGACAGTTAATACTGTCTCGCATGGCGAGACAGTGAATGCTGTCTCGCTGTCCGAGATAGTGAATACTGTCTCGGACTGCTGAGTCGGGGGTATAAAACCCCGACTTAGGGTTTTCCGATGTTTTTCACGTCGAATTTCCAGCGAATTCCAGTCGATTTTCAGGCGATTCTTAGGCGATTTTCAGGCGATCTTCTGCCAGTCTTCGGCCTCTTCTTCTTCTCTTCATCCCTGATTTGGGTGGAGCTTTTGTTTGGGGAGATTTTTCTCGGATTTTGAAGGACTCTACTAGGTTTGCTCTCCCTCTAACTGTTGAAGTCTTAATTTTTCTTTAATTCCATCCCATGCATGCGTATGTTGCGATATTTTTGCCGATTATATATTCAAAACCCTAACTTTCTCATTGGATTTTGGCAGGTAGCACATTTCCATCATGTCACCGCGACGATCCCGAGTTCCTCGAGGCCTTTCGACTGCCCAGCCCACCGCGGGGACTGATCCTACTGCTGCTTCACATGGGGGTATACTCCTTTCACCCTTTCACTTATTAAACACTGTATCTTGTCAACTTCATCTGTATATATCCATATTTGTATATAAACACTCGTTTGTCGTCCTTTGAGATGCATTCGAGAAGAGCCGGTATCCTCCTTTGAGAGGACCGACGCTGAAAAGTATTTGTTTTGCTTGGACAAAACACACTTCAGAATATACAGGGGCGATTTCATTTTACCCTACGTATGTTAAAAAGTTTTGATATGCCGTTATAATGCTCGTGCATAGTAACGCATATCTCTTTTATACGTGTAGTAAATGAGAATCGTCACACCTGTTACGAGATGACGATTCTATCTTATGGAATAAGATATATCGTTTTCTCTAAAATTTAGGGTTATTCTTACACCATTTATGTGTTTTCTTCTTTTTTCTTTGTCAGTCCATTTTCCATCCGTAATCTTCTCTGTTAATGAGGTTACGGGTCAATGTAGTATCACCCGTTCTTCTTACGAGGGAATTCCATTAATCGAGTCGATTCCTCAATTCAAATCGGATTATAGCGAAGCCTTAATGGAATTGATACGACGGGGTAGTTATCGTGTCTTGCGACGGTTGATCACGGACGCGACTTTAATCTCAGAGCAAGACTCAAACCAATGTATAAGGAAATCGGATTTCCTGTTTGATGACTCTGTGAAAGATCCGGAGATCGTTTCTTGCAGACCCGCGCAATGGTTATATGTAAGTGGGTCGTTATTCTTGTATCTGCCTTGGATTCCTCGGGAGCATTCACTTTTAAAGTTCAGAAATTTGTCAGTTGAACGAGAGATGTTCTGGAGATTTACCGAAAACCATGAGCGTATTCACTGTGGTTTTATTGGAAAAGAGGCCACCCCGGGTTCCAGTGACAGTATGTATGGTCTGCGAGGACTCCATCCTGGTGTCTTAGGCCAAGATAATCTGCCCCATAATGAAAAGGCGGCACATGCAAACATTGTGAAGAACAGATTAGCTGTGTTCGGGAAAGAACTTTCTATCAAAAAGTTCAGATGTTATGGATGAGTCCGCTATTTTGGAGATAAGTGGTGGACAAGAATGACCCGATATGCATTGAATCGCTGGGGGGCGAGAATTGGCAGAGTTAGGGTTGTCAGTCCCAATCCGTGCCAGTATGTATGGTCTGCAGATCAGTGTAGATCATTTCTTCTGTTTGTTCGAGATCTACAACCCTGACACTAATACATTCTTCACCAAGAATGGGGAGCTCAGATTACCATTACAAGAAATGATGAAGGTATCGGGATTGCCTATAGGTGACATTCCATATCAAGAATTCTTCCCCACTATCAGTCAATTGAACAAGATGAAGGATTGGTCAGCCGTGACCTATGACACTTTATGGGAGTTGACATGTCACTATCATATAGTTGTGGCCGAGATGGAGACTAGAGCTAAGAAAAAATCCCCCCAGATTAGCTTGAAACAATTTGCAGATTATTTGTTCAAGAACCTCGAGAGCCGTTCGGAAGAAGTGTGTGGACTATCTCCCTTGGCTCCCAATGAGATTAACCTATTGTTGGAGAGGACTAATGCACAATCCTACACTTCCCGTTCAGAAGACGGCTTTCCTTATGGTACCAAATTCCGCTCTTATTTGTGGCAAGCCGGCGTTCCGATCACTTCAACCACCCTATTAGCGGGTTTTTTGGCTATATGATTAAAGAGGTGCGTCATTCCCCACCAACCTTCTGATGCGATGCCGATTGAAGTGTTGTATCCGGCCGTTCAGTTAGCTACAGGTCGTAGGTTATCTTTACTCCCTGCTATG